TTATGGGCTGTAGTATCTGCTTGTTGGTGCACAACTCTTCACAGCTTTGAGGGCGTGGCTGCTCCATCAGCCTGGATCCCTAAGTGACTGGTGATTGGAGCCCAGAAATGGAGGGCAGGGACTATGAGATGAACATATTCCTTTACTTTTTAGCTACTGAAATTTGGGTGTTTTGTAGGGATTCTCAAAGCCTATAAAATTATTAAAAAGTCGTTTCTGATGAAAAGATGATTCTCATCCCTGTAAGTCTATCGTTTTGTATTTTCCTCCAATTCTTTTGGATTATTTGTGGTTTTTGCTTAGTTGCAGCATAGGCACAGGTAGTTGAAATTTAATATTTGAATGGTCCCACAGTAGCAGGAATCTAGACTTGTGTGTGCTCATTCGTGCATCTGTATATAGAGGCTACAAGTCAACGTGGTGTCTCCCTTAATTATGTTCCGCTTTGTTTAGGGAGATGCAGTTCCTTATTAAATCTGGAGCTCACCAATTTGGCTAGAGTGGCTGGCCAAGAAGTCCCAGGCACCTTTCTATGTCCATCTTCCAGGTGCTGGATTAAAGGGGCATGGCACCTCACCAGTTGTCGGAGGTCCCTTTTGCTTGCATGACAAGCACTTTCCCTAGTCATGTCCTCAGTTCCACAGTCGGAACTTTTATTTGCCAAAGTGTCTTTCCTCTGAACATCACACCAAGACAAACACATAGTAGGTGCTTAATATTGATTAAATTGGTACTGAATGACTTTCCTTACCTCTTACCATAGTGAATATCAGAAGATAGTTTATATGGCTGGCCAGCATTAGCAAGCTACAGAATTAGGCTTGAGGATTGCCTGTGGGCTACAACATACTTTCAGATAAATCTTTGTCTCCCACCCCCCTCTATTCAGTTTGCATTGACCTTGTTTCTAGTTCTGTTGAAAATTTAGTCTCCTAACATCTGTCAACTCTTGTCCCTGGTATAGGATGAGACCACTGGGTCACTTGAAGGCCCCCCCCCCCCGGCTTCTCAATGTTGTTTTAAAAACTATGCCATCTTCTTTTCCTAATTTGCCAGGAGCCCGGCTAAATCAAGGCTTCTCCAGGTCCTTCAGCCTCTAAGACGCAAAGCTGTGTTTCCAGTCTAGTTTCCTGCACGCAAATTGTTGCTTTGTTTGGACATATCCTCAGGGTCCCGAGTCCTCCTTTTGGAAGTTTATTCTTTGACAATTTCAAATATGTATATAATAAATTTTGATCATATCCACTGAAGTTGCCCTTGCTTATCTCATCCCGTTCTCTCTGGATTCCTTCTTCCCAAGTCTCCCTCCAACTTTCATATCTTTCTTTAACGACTCCCCAACTCAACCACCTAGTGTCGCCTTGCAGCAATCAGACGTCAGCTTTCTTTATTGCCATGTTCTCTGAAACCCTCAAGGAAGTGGATCCTGGCTCACCCTTTCAGCTTTTATGTCTTTTATTTATTATATCCCAACCCTACTGGTCTTGTATTGCCTTTTGAATGTGCAAACACGTTCTAATCTCACAGACTTGCAGTGATATTCCTGAGACCATCCTTCTTTAGCATATTTTCAAGATCACCCCTCCCAACAAATGAGGACTTCCTCAAAGACCACTCCTCTAGCTAGTTATCTAGATCTCTTGCAGTATCCCAACTCACACCTCATTGCGAGGCTTTATTATATTCCCTTTCTGTCTCTCATTATTTTTGCACCATGGGAATACAAACATCTGAAGATGAAGGACTCAGTGTATCTTCTTCAAGGCGACACCCCGCAATACCGGAAGCATCCTGTACACATTAGGTACTCAAGAAATGTTTGTTGACTACAAGAATGTCCAAGGTCTGTAGATCCCAATCAGATTTTATGGCTGTGAGATATGTTTACTTTAAGTATACCACCTGTATTTAAAATACTGTTGTTATTATCGCCTTTCTTATAGAAAATTCAAAACCCACCTTGACTGAATTGTCCATTTCTTTGTATAGAAAAGTTGGGAATTCCATGAAAAAGATTCTGTCTCTCCTTTAGTCACCAAAGTTGTCTGCAAGGTGACCACAGCAGCCCTCCTTCCTCGATTGTCTCTTCAGATCCTCTACAGCTGTGTCTACCCTCTCTGTCATTCTCTGTCACTTCGCTGTATCACTCCTACTTTGCCTTTCGGCTTCTTTATTTCCTCTGTCCACACAAGTTCACCAGCGTATTCTGCCACATTTACCTCCTGTTGTAAACTAAGACCCTGGACTGCCTGTCTGATCTCTAGGTCAACTCAGGGGATAAATCTTGACACCTAAAGAGACTCAATGAGGAGTCACCCTAATTCATCTGTCATTTGCCCTCTGTAAATAGGGACCTATAACCCCTGCTCCTCATAGAATAGAGTTACTGGGACTATCTTTTGAGTTTTGAGAATTGAACGCGGGTCTTGTGAAAGCTAAGTCTATGCCACTGAGCTGCACTCCCTACCCCATTAAATGAGGATTATTTTGCAAAGTACTGGGGTCACACTAGTGCACAAGATATGTTGGCTTTCAATGCTCATGCATTTTGGCTTTTTGTCTCTACTTCCCCCACTTGTTCTAAATCCCACTTCCCCGTAAGCTTACTTTCCAGTGGTAATGACACAGAATAACGATGTCAAAATTATAGTTGTAGTCCTGATGAGAAGGCCTAATTTGTCTCAGTGGGATGTGTGATTTTTTTTTGGAGCAAAAAAACCCACTTATTTAAATTCTAACACTGTTGCTTTACTTGCTGTTTGACCTTGGGCGATTTATTTTGCCTCTCTGGGCCTTCAATGGAGATAATAGTAATAATAGCTATCTCCCCCTAAATGGCTACTTGTGTGATGTGAGACACACAGACACATGCATACGCATCTGTAAATGCAGATGCTCAGTGCCTGGAAGATTATCAATAGCCTTTCCGGATTCATTTACAAAATTACCTAGCAAATAGGGAAGTTTTTTGAGTTAGTCTAATTTAACCTACAGGGAAAGGCACGTGTCTCTCCTTGGGATACATGAGCGAATGTAATAAGGCTAAGAGTTAATTGAGACCCTAGTGTCCATGGGATACAAAAGCAATGTTCAGAGCCATTGTCAGGGAGTTCAGGAAACCTTGATGGCTCATCCTGGTTGAGTTTCAAGTCTCTGCAGCCCCCTAGTGGCCACTGATGTCATAGGCCTGTTCATAGTCATTGACAAATGAGAGAGTCAATTTGCCTTTGAATAAGAGTTCTATAGACAGGAAGGAGATCTCGTGGGGTGTGAAGGGGCTAGTGTTTTGACCCCTTTCAGGTTTCAGATAGAAAGATATTCCTCTGAGGGTGCACCCACCAGGAAAATTGATCTGAATCTGAACATACGAGGGAAATATTTAACTTCATACTCCTTCCTTTCTCTCCCTTCCCTTCCTCCCTCCCCAAGATAGGAACATCTTTTCTTCTCCTCGTGTCAAATAATTTTTGTCACTCAAACAATTAAGTCGGTACAGTTAAGAATTTCAAATGTACACGGAAGTTGGAAGTCCCTGAGAAGTAATGGTGTTTTTTGTTTTCTTTTGTTTCTTTTCTTAGGTTTTCACTGGCCAATATGATAGCATAGTGCTAGAAAAGACCCCGGCCCATGAAAGAGCAGAGGCTCCACTCAGGAATTGTCTTATGTGGGGCTGTAAGCAGGACATTGTGTCTCTCAGAGCTGGGTGAGGGAGGGTCCACGAGACAATGTACTCAGATATTGGGAGAGCTCTCCCAAGGAATGCCAGTCAACCTTGGAGAGAAGGGACTGAAAAATTTGTGTGAACTGAAGATTCATCTTATAGGGGCATTTGACGAACCTTCTCTTGAAACACAGCCATTGCCTGAAAGGAGAGGAGACTAGAGGGAGAACCCAAGCATTTTAAGTGAGTAAGTAAAAGGCCTGGAGTCTGTGCACAGCTGTCCCATACTTGCATCTTTCACTGGGTCACACCCACATCCTCTGGTCTGCTATTCATGGAAGCACAGGATAGAGAAGCAGGCAAGAGGGCATGAGGATAGGCTTGGGAGTCTCTTGTCATCTATGACCCAGAATTGAAATTAAAACTATTTGTCTTAGGTGTGGCGGCTTATACTTGTAATCTAAGCACTTGGGAGACTGAGGCAGGAGGATTGTCAAGAGTTTTCCGTCAGTCTAGGCAACGTAGTGAGTTCAAGTCCAGTCTGGGCTACAAAACAATCTCTTATTTCAAAACGCTAAAATATTGAATAAACAAAGGGTTGCAGGCTAGCGTGGTAGCTCAACAGTAGGACATTTGCCTGTCTTGCAGAAAGCTCTAGGTTCCATTTCTGGCACCGCAAATTTACCCTGAAAACCTGTTCAGACACCTTTCTGAGAAAACGAAGTGGCTGACAGATCTGAATGGCATTTGATATGGCTGAAGAACAGCTCGGCGATTCCGGAGTACCAGACTCTCAGCAATGCTTTTAAACAACAGGAGTGTCGAGGAAGAAGGTTCCCTTTCAAGGCCCCAAGACAAGCTGTTCTTGGATATTGCAGGGTGACTCTATCCCTGCCCCCTCCTTGGCCTCCAGTTTTATTCCGAAATCTGCTCTTCTGAAGTCGGACACGTTTAATCTGTTAAATGCATAATTAGAGAGAGAGCTTGGTTGCAAAAATCACTTCCAGTCTTCCCATTTGTCCAAAATACTCTCTTGCTCGCACGGCGGAGAAATAGGGCAGACAATCCGGAGGAAGGAATAAGAACCAACAGAGGGAGGCGGGGCGGGTATGGTGCTTTTCTCAATGAATACTGAGGCCTCTGCAGATTTGCATAGGAGCAGATCTCGCAGCACCATTGGTTGGCAGATCTCGGAGGGGGCGGGGCCGGCCTGCGTGGGCTGGGCTGCTGCGTGGAGTTCACTCTGGAGTCCCGCCCTCGCCGAGGCCCCGCCCCCTGTCGGCGCGCGCTCGCGGCTCCGCCAGCTGCAAGTGGCGGGCGCTCAGGCAGATGCGATCCAGCGGCTCTGGGGGCGGCAGCGGCAGCGGTAGCTGGTACCTCCCGCTGCTTCTGTCCAGGGGGTCTCAGGGCAGCGAGACTCCTTCCGGCCGCCCCCTGGCCAGTTAACAAAACCTCGGGCGCTGCTGGTAGGTGAGGAGGGGGCTAGATCGTGGGCTCCCCTGCCCGAAACGCTTTCACTCCTTGGCTGTTGGTGGGGCTGCCCTAGTGCCAGGGAAGTGAACTCCTAGGAGCCAAGACGTTGGTGACAGCAAGGACGCTGCAAACTTACGCGGAGGCAGCAGGAGCCTCCTCTCCGCAACGCAGACCTTGCGTTCACGCCCAGAAGTTCAGCGTGCAGGGTGATCCAAAGACTTCCTGCAGCGGAGGTCACTTGAGGGGGCGCTAGAAAGCAGCCCCCTCCGATGGTCCTTCCCTAGACCTTCCTAGGGAAGGAGCGCGGAGGAGGTGACAGGAGCGGAGGACGTGGGCAAGACAGTGACCAGCCCGGAGCCAGGGTTCTCAGCCTGGAAAGTTGTGGAAGATTGGAGGCTGCGAGGAGAGCTCCGGTCGCCGAGGGCTCCTAGAACGGTAACTAATTGCCTCCTCCCTTCAATGGTAGTAGTTTCTCTGGTCCCTGAGCGAAGGCCACGACAAACAGGGGCGCAGCACTCCGAGCAGCTGCGAGAGGCTCAAGGTCCAGCTGTTGAGCCCAGGGTGTCTCACGGTCTCTGGACTCGCCCCTGACTTCCAGATCGGTTTTGCTGAGAACCCTTCTTGCCTGCTTGCAGCTTGGGAAAAGCAGAAGAATCGAGCTTACTCACAATCCCTGAGATCAAGAGGAAGGAACCTTTCAGGACTAAGGACTGTTTGGAGCCCCTTCCTGTCTTGGAGAGAGTGAAGGGAGAGCGAGGCTGGACCAGCGAGGAAAGGGAGTCTAATATAAACTCTAGCCCTCCAGCGGGATGGGAGCCCTTGGGCTCCTGTGGCTGTTGCTGCTGCTGCTTTCGGCAGCAGCCTCGGACTCCGGAGCTGCAACAGACCAGCAGGCGGGTTCCCCGGCCGCCGGGCCGCCTCTGCAGCCCCGGGAGCCACTCAGCTACTCGCGTCTGCAGAGGAAGAGTCTAGCCGTGGACTTCGTGGTGCCCTCTCTCTTCCGTGTCTATGCCCGAGACCTCCTGCTGCCGCAGCCGCCGTCCCCCTCGGAACACGAGACTGATGGACTGGAGGCGCGGGGATCACTGGCTCTGGACTGTGCCCCTCTACTCAGGCTGTTGGGGCCAAGGTCTGGGTTCTCTTGGGCAGAAGGAATCGGTTCGCCTAGTCCCGAGGTAGGTTCGACGCTGTCCAGGGTGCTGAAGGGAGGCTCTGTGCGCAAGCTCAGGCGAGCCAAACAGCTGGTGCTGGAGCTGGGCGAAGAGGCGATCCTTGAAGGCTGCATCGGACCGCCAGAGGAGGCCACGGCTGTGGGGATACTCCAGTTCAATCTCAGCGAACTGTTCAGCTGGTGGATTCGCTACGGCGAAGGGCGGCTGAGGATCCGCCTGATGCCCGAAAAGAAGGCATCGGAAGTGGGCAGGGAGGGAAGGCTATCCACCGCGATCCGAGCCTCCCAGCCCCGCCTTCTCTTCCAGATCTTCGGGACCGGTGAGCAGCTCCCACTAGAGTGTGTTGGGATTTGCATTTTTAGTCACACCAACTTGCAGCCACTATTAACGAACCCTTGTGCTTCTTTGGCTGTTTTTCATCATTCTTGAAATTATACCCACAGTTTCTCACTGTGTGTTTGAACATAGTCACTTCCCAATAGAGCTGTCTTCCCTCTTTAGTAACCAAGTTGGGAGAAAAGTTTCTCAGTGTTGGCAGAATGCCTTCCCCCGACTTACACATGATTTAGTTGTATCATAATTGGGTGCCCTCCGTCCTGGGCTCTGAGAATGGCTGAAATGCCCCCCATAACTCCTAAGATCCTAGTTAGTGTGGGGCTTCAAACTATCTCCCTTTCTTTCAGACTCTTGTTCCTTTCACAGGCCACTGCTGATTTGGGGAATGTGCTAGAGTTTCCCAGAGAATATAGAATTCCACTTTATATTGAGTCTCAGCCAACCTCCTGGCCCTGGCCCTCCTCCCCAGTCCTGGCTAGCCCAGAAGTTCCCTCTTCCTTAATTATTCATTCTGCTCCACTGGACTCCTTGTCCCCACTCTGTTCTGCCCTCTCAGACTCTGACTCTTCCCAGATGTCCTGGAAAAGTCCCAGGGGAACTTAGGGACAAGGGGCAGGAGAGTTGTGGAGAAAGGGATGAAAACCGATAAGGTTGCCTTAATTTGGGGGAGAAGCAATATCTGTCTTCGCTGCTGTCCTCCCCCACCCCCTCCATCTTCCCTGGGAGGCTCAGCCTGCATGGACATAGCAGCTGCTCCTGATGATAGTCTCTGGCGGGCCAGTTTCCCTGCAGATCACACTGCTGGAGGCGCCTGGAATGAGGTTTCTGTTTCATTTACTCCCTCATTTCTTCCCACATTTATCAAGTTAAGGCTGTGTGTGCAAGCACTTACTTCTAACTCTTCCACTAGTATTTTTTGAATGGCAAACCAGCGGTTTTGAATGAATGTTTCTCTCTTGAGACCACGGGGGAAGGACTTGTGAATGAATCGAATATACAATGTAAATGAATGAGAAAATCACAGAAAGAGAAATCATGGTTGTTTTTTTTTTTAAAAAAAGAAGCCCACACTGATTCCATTGAGCGAAACTAGCTTCTTTTCTATCATTCTCATTCTCAGAAATAAATGAAGTTCTTATGCTCCATTGGTTACTAATGTTTAGTATTAATTGGATGGAAAGCATTGGACAGGGTTCATTGTAGAGGGACAACTTCTCCCATGCTAACACACATGCACACCACGCCCACTTACACTCAGTACTGTCCTGCAGCAGAGCTTCCGAGAAGCTGAGGGTTGCCTGTCACTGCACAGGAACTGTACTGGCATGTGGTCCTCAAGGAAAACAGAGGGTGGATCTGCATTTTAGCACAGGCATTGGTGGCACCCCTTAAAACAAGCCCTTATGATCAATGCTGGGATTTGTATTGTGCCTGGTGAAAGGCAGGGTCTGGTGGACTTGGCAGTGCCTTCAGTGAAATGAGGGGAGACAATGAAACTGTTGTCCCACTAAGGACACTGTTGTGAAGAACAGCTGGGCTTTTATGGCATTGTGGCTTCTGCGATTTATGTATGCAGCATTCTCTTTTAGTGTCCAACGCTTCTGTAATGGTGTAATGGATGTAAAAGTGACTCTCTGGGAAGACAATTTTCTTCCCCTTTCCTGTCTGAGCATTGCTGGAGCTTCCTCATCACCTCTTGTGACATGACCATTCGCCCCAGCAGTCTCTATCAACTGTTGTCACATGGTGACGGCAGGCAAAAGGGGGCCGTTTTCCAGTCCTGAACCTGCCAACTATAGACAGGCTGCAAAGAAACGATCAGTGGATATCTTGAGTCACATAATGCATTCGAAGAGCATACCACTGTAGTCGAGCCCTATGTGAAATCAAACCATGCTCGGGGAAAGCTTCATGTAGAAGGAGTGCCTCTCAAGAGCTCCTCTGCTAGTGGCTGCAGGGAAGCAGTGAGCATCCCAAGCCCTCCCTCAAGAGTGCAGTCCATTTGGCAGCAGGGCCAACACTTATGCATCATTTGACACATATAGAAGTGCTGGCTTCAGAAAGAGCCAGGATTCTGCCATTAAAAGACTAGAACTTTTGGCCAAGCGTTTTTCGGCGGGATTGAGATCAAATGGTTATTGATGGGATCAAATAAGACACTAAGTGTAACTGGATGAGCTCCCTGTGACCTCCAGAGAGACAGACAGCTTATTCAAAAGCACTTCAGGCCTTGTGCTCACACTTGAACAGGATGGCCTCTCTTGTCTCCGAGGACATGTACTGTCTGCAGTTAGGCAGCTCGCCACACAGGACTAGCCTCTTGCCTTACCTCACTGCCTCCACACACGCCCCTCCCCAGATACAGACTCCACTGCAGACCTTTCTGTGGAGTGGGCACATCCTCTTGCAACACACCACATTCTGTGTTGGGGGCAGCACTCACCACTGTGGCTCCATTCATCATTTTGTGTGGAAATTCTGGTTTACATTTCTGCTACTGGGATTGATCTTTCTACTCCTCTTGTTGGGTGGAATAGATGAGTTTATTATTTTTATATGGGCTCTTATTTATAGAATGGGACATTTACTTTTGTGACATAGGATCTTCGATTAAATGCAAGGAATATGGACAACTCAGGTTCTCTTTTCCAGACCGAGGGGCCCGTGGCCCTGCCTAGAGGGGAGCAATGGTGCTGATGGGTCTATGTGTGTGGGGGGGAAGTTGTTCTGCCACCCCTTGTTGTCAGTGTTCTGCAGGAACCCACTTGTGATAGACTGAAGATAGTTTCCTAAACTTAAGCAGGACCACGTCTAGGGAGGTGATAAAATGGAAAAGAACCCAGTAAGGACAAAGCTAAACCATTGTATTGCTTGTGGTTTGGGCTGCCCGAGAGGACAAAAGGATGCTTGAGAGTCTTTGTAATGAATGACATGTTTGTGGTTTTTCTTTGTGGATTACTGTGAATTCATAAACAGGATCAATGCTTCAAAGCCTGAAGCAGTTCCTGGGAGAACCCATTCAGAGAGGCAGTTGCTGAGATTCCATGAATGGTGATGTACTATCCAGAACAGTCCAAAGCTCCCAAAGAGGTCTGCTTGGATGCTTACACATTAACCACACAGTTCTGGCTTCCATCCTGGCTTTTGCAGGTGCTTTGAGATCAGCTTCTGTGATCTCACAAACAGAGCTGTAGAGAACGTTGCGGGATAGAAGGGTCTGTTTCCCAGACCTTTCCCATACCCACTTCAGGAAAGGAGAGACACAGCCTGGGACATTATATGTACCACAGAGGAATGTGGGCAATTTAGAGTAGATGCATGCAGTGCAGTACACCTGACCCTTGATCTGACATATTGTCTATCCGTTCTCATTTCACTTCTGAAAGAGGCAGAGAGAGTAAAGGAAGATGGAGAGGAAATTGGAGCTCCCAGGAGGGATATCAGTTATTTGAGGTGAATTGGGAGAATTGGAACCAGTCCAGAGAAGAGCAGAGCGCTGATTTAAGAGCCAAAAGGAGTGATTTATGATGAAAGATGAAAAGAATTAAATATATATGGCTGGATTAAATGGCGATGAAGGGAAAGCCATGGTAACAATCTCCAAATCTCTAAAGTGAGCGGCTGTTGGCGAGGACCAGGAGTTATTTAGTGTAGCCTTTAGAAGTAATAGGATGGGCCTTCCAGAAGACAACTCTAGGTTACACATCTAGAAATCTTATTTTCTGAAATAGACACTCCTCTGACTATGGAATGGAATCCCAAGGGAGCAAGCGGGGAGTCAGGTGAGATGGGGGCCAGACAAGCCACAACATTTGTAATTAATAAGTTCTGATGTTGCGAAACCACAGCGGGCAGGAGGGCCTGGATGAAGGAATCATGATATTTCTGGATCTCATTCCTGGGAGCTTTTTGAGTACTGATGTTTCCAGGGGGGAATAGAATTACTAGAGTATCTTTAAAGTTGGGAAATTTTTACAAGATTGTGAGTAAATAAAATCGAAATCATTAGGTTTGTTTTTTCCCTCAGTCCCCACATTAAAGCTTTTCTCTGGGGGATAGTCTGGTGGTACACGGGGAGTGGGGGCAGCAAGGCCCATTCACCAGAGGATTAGGTGTCCAAGACAGAGCCATAGGTGTGTGTCAGCACTGGACTGAGTCATTGGAAAAGGTAGAAGGTGACCAGGGCTTTAAAAAGATGAGATCAGTTCTAGGTTGAGTAAACCTCTACTGAATACTTCAAAATTCTTTAAGATGTTTTTAATGGATTGAAAAATATTTAATTTTTTTGTGTGTGGATGTTTTACCTGCCCACATTGTCTGTTTACCATGTACACACAGAGGCCAGAAAAGGAAGTCAGATTTCCTGGGGCTGGAGTTACAGACTGTGAACTTGGTGCTGGGAATTGAACCCTGGTCCTCTGGAAGAGCTGCTGGTCTTGCAACCACTGAGCTATGTCTTCAAAATCAAGTGAATTTTTGAACAGTGTCCAAATTACAATGAGAGAGGGTGGAGGGAGGGAGGGAGAATACTTAGGAGAGGTTCATATGCAGGAATCAGAGAGAATGCTATCTTTGATAGTGGACGTGTTTAGGAGGATGCTGGTCTGTTGAAGGGCAAGAGCGACTGACCTGCACGTATAGGGAGAGAATAAGAAATGCATTGGCAGAAATTTCCAGTGCTCTCCCACTTTTAAAGGTTACTGACTGGTGACCTCATTTTATGGGAAATTTCCCAGCCTGGTAAAGGACGGATCTCCTTCCATTATAACTGCTGTTAATATTCTTGTCTAGTTGTTTGAGACTTTACGACTCATAAATCACTTTCACAGTTATTATTATTTTTATTAATTGCACAGTAGGCAGGAAAAGTAACTGCTCTATTTTGTGAATGGACTGACTGGAATCCAGATGCTTGATGACACACTTCCAAGGTCATGTAAGTACAAAGCCATAGACCTGGAAACTTCAGTCTACATGGTGAGA